TTCTGATATTAAACTTTCAACAGTGAAGCTTTCTAAAATTTTCAAAATTAGTCCTTTAAAATTTGAGATTACATTTTTGCTTAAAATTAATCATACATGTATAAATACGTTATGATCCTCATAATTAGTTCATCTATAATTCTAATTAGGAATTCATTTTAAGCGTAATATCTACAAATGAATAATTCAATCAAATAGTTTATTTTTATTTAACATTCAATTACTCTACATATCTTTGTTTCATCAATTATCTTTTATAACTAACCGTAAAATAGCATTCATATATGTATCTTTTGAAGTTTTAGGATTTTATTATACATATTTATATTATGGATACATGCAATTAATTTAAAACAAATATACATATATATATATAGATTAATGTTGTTTTATTTGAAATTAAATAAATGATAATATCATTTCATTTGTCCCCACTTTCAGTAGAATTTCATCTTACAAGAAGCATTTATAAAGCATATTTTCCAAGATTACCATCTATACATTGTATTACATACTATCTATTTATTTATCATGTGAAGTTCACATTCCTTTTTTATATATCATTCTGTAATGGTTATTGTTCAATGTAACTGATAGTTAAATTTTGAGCATTTGTTTTACTTGTTTCATTCAACATACGATGATACTTTAAATGATAGTTTTGATAAGTGTCATGGACATGTGACTCTAGGTAATAATCTTATTTATTCACGTGTCCGATGATGAAATAGATAAATGTAACTGTCACAGTCATGTTAGGAAAAATATATATATATAAACACATAGAATTAACACATTGAAGAGTTTAAACAAAGACAGAATCCTTATTCATCAAATATGAATTATTTTCAAATTAACTGACAATCAGCTGATATTGTAGTGAACATGAACGCAAGTGCGGGACAACCAAATGTGTTTGAATACAAAATTAAAGAATCTTTTAATAAAATCGGAGAACTATACAGCAAACATTTCATTTGTAAAATGTCAAGCAGTCATCTCAGACTTCATTATCCCTTCATTTCCACACCAATCATTCTCTTTTCTTCGATTTTCTTAACCTTCTGCCGTCAAACATCTCACTTTTTATAGCTCATATCTATCGACCTCAGTAGCATACACCACAATATCAGTTAATCTATAATAAAAATACATAATTATCTTAGTTTAGAAAACTGAATAAAATAGTGTTAATGATCAGATCTTACATTTAAATTTATTTGATTTCAGCAAGTTTTTTTTTGAGTTTTAACATTTAATATTTTAATTATTGTAAATATATTCCGAATATTATTAGCAGATAATCGTTATGAATAAAATATGCTGGAGCGTAATAAATTGTTCATTGTTTTTTTAAAAGATGATCCTTCTTTTCGTTTAATTGAAGTACTGTAAATGTACATTATTGAAGCCCAACATTTATTACTTATCATGAAACATGTCCCAATCACTCAGTAATTGTTATTGTTTAGACAAATTTTAATTATTATTATTATTATTATTAAAGCTTAGTAATTAGTGAGAATTTTTGAACATTTGTACACTTGATGCGATAATGTTTGTTATTCTTGCTTTACATAATCGATTATATTCGACGGAAATGTTCAGTCATAAAAGAAAATTTGATTAACATGATGAAAGGATTTTGCTTCTATTAAATCCTTAACTCTAGTAAGAAAATGCTTAACCGAGAAGTACAAAATACTTACCTTTTGACATTTAGTATTGTTATTAATGACTGAATAAGACAGTGATAATTTAACTAATTCGAAGTATAAGATAGTAAGATGAGAAGGACGTCAAATTTACAATGATTAATTATCTTCATATGAATACATCGTTTTACTTTTGTCATATAGTTTATATTTGTATGTACCGCTAAAAAGGATGGGAAGGTTTTAAAGATTGTTTTGTTTGGAGTCAACGAGGTGACCTAAAATATTCTTTATGTCTTAAGTATTCGAGTCTAGTTGTGAAAATTACCACTAAAGTGCATATACAACCATTTGACGACACCCAAATTGAAGAAGATATACATTTTCAATTTTTTTACTAGCCACTTACTGGATGTATATCTCAAAACATTTAAACGTCGAAAATTGTTTTGGCGTTTTAACATAATAAGTAGACAACGAATGTTTTGCAGTTTTGAATGAACAACCTTTTTTCGCTTACTTTAAAGAAAGTTCTTTATAATAATTTTTATAGTTGTATTGCGTGAGTTCAGTAATATGCTATCTACCTATACTGATTGCTAAATTACAAGGAGGCGGGTTTATCAACTGTAGCTATTTACTCTTCTTCTGAATGGATATCTATCATTACACACTCATAATTCTCTATAATTTATAAGTATTATAAACTGAAAGGTATATTATTCTAACTGTTTTCAATCGGATTCCTCATATGTCACTGATATATACTTATTATAACTAGTTGAATAGTGGCATAATGGGTAGTTTTTAAAGAGAAAACTTTGTAATTATGTAACATTGTTATCGCTTTATTTTCGTCTCATGAGCGGCGGCCGTGCGTGTTGATCTTTCAAGTACCAGGAAACGGTAGATTTCTTGTCGAGTAAAGTTTTACTTTAGTAAATGGCACTACTATCCACTTGCACAACGTCAGAAGCCAAAACACGCAGTGGAATACCGAACCTACTTTTAATGAAATGAAAAATGGTTATTCTTTATTTTTCAGTGAATAATTCACCATGATAAATAATGTAATAGAATAATGATAGATACTGTACAATATATTCTAAGTGCAATTTTTACTAATCATAAGATGTAAATATTTACATAGCTAGCGGTAGTACAAATTATTAAACTGTGTGGTCATTCGTCAGCAAACATCCTTTGTTTAATTTAATGTGTTTGTTTGAGTGTATATCAGTTTATGTGAGTCTGTCTTTATCATGCATATTTTGCTTACTGTTATATATATATATTGCTACTAACACCTTTCGTAACAGAATATTTTGTCATTTAATAGGCTTATGTACAAATAATAATAATAATAATAATAATAATAATAGTGATAATAATACGAATACTAGTCTTGAAGACTATGCATCTGTCTTTTTCGGTATTCATTGCCTTTTCAAACAAATTTCTTTATGACCAAAGGAAAAAAACATACATTTTTTCAGATGCGAATTCCGATATAACCATGTGCTTGAATTTTTTTGTGTAATTCAATTAGTGATACTAAACTGTGAATAGATTACTTTATAGAATCCAAAAACGCTTTTATGTTATAATACACACAGACATACATTAAAACTATTTTGACTGAATAACAGATTGTGAAAAGAAAGTTCTCTTTTTCTAAATAAAACACGCACACACAAAATATAGAATCACCAAAGCTTTTGAATTGCACACTAATAAAAAGTCTCAAAGTATATCTAAATACTTATTCATGTATTATCGGGATTTTATTTAGCAATTATTTAAACAATGTTGCGGAAACTATAAATTACACATTCGCTTACATCAATTAAAACTATAACAATTAAAGTATTAATTTCAATCAATTTTGAGTTATTGTTCTGATTTGTTTATAGTTAATTTGTAAAATATTAAACAACTTTAGAAGACATTAAATTGACAATTAAATAACAAATGTATTAAACAAGAAAAAAAGTACTTTCAAAGATCATAGTTAAATATTAGTAATGACTTGGTTTTTTTCTGATGGTAAATTCAACTGTTGCTATTTTCAGCAAAGTTAATTCTCATCAGGTAATGATTTTGTAGGTATCATTACCAAGGTTTGACTTGATAATTTTGAATAAGTTGAGCATTGGGTAGGTTGTTATAAATAAGTAATATATTTGATTGATCACATATTATTCTTATTGTTCCGTTGTACTATTTAAAATTAGATTAATTTTGATTTGGTTATTCATTCTCTGAAGAAGTGAGTTACACTAAGTCATGAAACGTCAGAAAATCCAATTTTTCTACTCATTGGGATATTACAAAAATATTATTTATTTATTCATCAGGTAATGCAATAAAATGAACAACTGTCTCGTCACATAGTATAACTAATCAACACTAAGACTGATCTATCACTAACTGGTGACTAAAATCTTATTTCTCTAGTCGTTTAGTACCGATCGAATTTTATCGAATAGGTTTTGACGTAGTCTCTTATTTGAATGACTCAACATTTCGCCGTGTTGTGAATTTCAGTAGCATGAGGCAATTGGAAAAAAACGGTTTGATGCTTCCAGTGATATTCGAACTCAAACCATCTAGCTTCACTGTTTGAGACGTTAAACAGAACTATTCAGATAGCGTTTGACAGATCTATAGGAGACCAGTCCTCAAGAATGTAATCATACCTAGTTAAAGCATACAAACTATCACGAAACTTGGATTTAGTGTTTCCTGCTGACTACATCCAACCACCTTACACTAATTAGCTTTGTGTACATGAGATTAAATTAGGTGTATCTAGGTTTACGTCAATTAACCGTAAGAATGTGATTCTATCTCATGGTAGCATTTGTGACAATTTCACTATCGACATGGTTCCGGGTTACAGTTTTAGAAAATTCATTTAGAAAGAAATCATCAGTCAGTAAGTGATTGTTACCTATTGTGTTCTTTTGAGGGATCTACGTGTTGTGAAGATAGTTATCATGAAGCATTATCGTTTCGTAAATTGCTGAATCCTTTTAAAGTGTTATTTAAGCTTTCGTACGTTCTAGCTGGAAATAAACTATTTGATAAATACGACTTACTTATCATGTATCTGCTTTCTTTCTAATGCTTCGCAAAAAAAGTAGTCTTAAACTGCACACTGTTAAATTTAGAAGCCTATATTTATCATTTTCAAATCACCATTTTTTGTTGATTTATATGGGCGCTAAAATTATAACTGAAATAAAACTGTATTCCTTATGTTTAACCACTGACTCCATGACCTCATTTATTTTGAATATACACATGTTTTCTTTTTTTTGTATATAATTTCATTTAAATAAGGCAAACAGTGTTCGTTCTGGACGAAGCTCTGGATTTGATGAACGCTGCTCACCACAATCATATGGACGTAGTGGTATGTTGTTTTTATTTACATACATTTACACTTTTATAAATAAATAATGATTTAAATCACCGGCACAAATGACTGTTAATAAATGATTACTTTAATTATAGGAAATAGTACAACACACGAAACTTAGAAGTACTCTAGTTACTACGACATTCACTGTAATCATTGTGTTATTTAGAAGGATGTTAACTTATAGTTGTAAGTCATTTAGTGAACTATGAAGTGCAGTGGTGATAACAAATATCATGCTAACTAGTCTTGAGACATGACTGAATTTTTCATTTAACCATGCAGGTTTAGCTAATAATTACATGCTTCAACAAAATATGCATCAGTTTGATCTACATTTTTTTTTAAAATCGATAGAAAGTCTTTATTTTATTGCTGTGTTCAAGATATCCAAAATGATCTCGACTAAAGGTCTCTATTAATATGAACGCCTTTGAGACCCATACAACAAAATCACAGCCGCACCCAAAAATTGAGATTATGAACCTGTTTAGTTCTCTATTTTTGTTTGGTCGTCCAATATCAGGTTCATTTCTTCAAATAATTACTCATGGATTGGTAAATTTGGAGAGTCTTGAAAAATTCTCATTGATTTAATGCATAAGCATGGTTACATGCTCACACATATATTCTTCTATCTCCCCAGCCACATAGAATATTTAAAAATCTTAATGCCTACATAAACACATCTTAGATTCCAAGCAAAGGCCATAGTGCTGTGTTCTATTAAATCTAATTATCAATGTAAGTATCGTAAATTTTAGGAACAATAGATTCTCAAATATCAACTACATATCATCTTCCTAATCGGACTCCATTTTGATAAGAATTCATCAGAGTCGTCCAATTGATATTTTGATCTCATACTTTAGTTAGATGAATTCAATTTAGTAACACTCATGATACTATAATCAACGTTAATTTATACACGAAAGCTAATATTAAGAATTTGCATGACTGTTTCAAGGCTAAAATGCTAGTCGAAGTACCAGATTGATGAAACTTACAAACTGTATGTTTATCATATTTCGACTAATTCACCATAAATAATATCTGCTTTCACATTTATGTTTTCCCGACAAGTAAATGTACTCCCTCTCAATCTCAACATGTAATTTCATTTTTACTTCAATCTCATCGTACGTAGTCTTTCTAGGAGTACTTAAAGTTTGAACGGACGTTTTATTTTGGATTGAGATCATGAACCGATTGATGTTAGACCACCGTTGGAAACCCGGAAGCACTGGACGGCCGTTCCGTTCTATTGTGAGACTCCTCAGCAGTGCGCATCAACGATCCCGCTCGCAGGATTCGAACCCATGGCCATGAGTCCCGCTTAACGTACTGAACCACTGAGCCAGCATCCAATGGTGTTAGTGTCTAACATCAACCAATCCATGAAATCGCGCGACCATCTTCCATCGTACTGAGGTAGACACCTGTCTCTACCCGACACGGATTAGCCCCACTGTTCACGGCTTCTCATTAGAACTCCGAGAATTCCTTCACGAAGCTGGTCATTAGTGAGCACATGTTAATTATCAGTATAGGAGTTGTGAAGATTATTATTAGTTATTCGTCAGATATTAAAACTTGTTATTTGTCAAAGTAAAATTTAAAGGAAAAGTTTATTACAGTTCATAAAATAATCAACATTTTTTCTATGATACAACTATCAAATGTGATGTCGACGGTTCTTAACAGTGCGACTTTTAGTTTTCTGAGGGTTACTTTAATACCGATAGTAACTGCTTCAGAATCAGTAATAAATTAACTACATATACATAACTGTCGTAGGAATTACACTCACAAATACCAGTCATTCAATATGAATTATCTTATTTCTTTAATTTTGTTAATTGTAGCTTCATACTACAATAGTTATACACCACCACCTACTCGATTTGGACTAAGCAATCATTGCACTTCACCTCATACTTTTTCAAATTCGTCAGGTACACTTTGATGGATACAAGTTGACATTATTTTTTTCATGTGATCTTTATCATCATAACGATTATTTTCATTATTGTTTATTATAATTTGGATGTTTTTATAAACAATGACTGTTTATAGTAGCATGGACTTGTATTAAACAATAAATATCGAAAATATCATACATGTTCAAAAGAGAAGTTCAAGAATAGAAACTTTTTGATTGTACTAATCATCTCATACAATGCTTTTGAGGTTATTTCAGATTATTACGATATACTAGTCACTGTTATAGTGACTATTACATGTGTAGACTGATCAAAGTATATTCTGTCCAACTTCTTTGCAAGTTTATTTACTCCGTCCTAAGAAAATGTAATCTAATAAAAAGCATCTTGTACAGATGATGAGGTAGATAAAAAAACATTTACTAATTCTTTGTGTGTGTCTTAATATCAAAACTGTAATCTGAAAAATTAAATGTTTACAACTGTGAACACCATTCTTACTGGACAGTCAGTAGGAATCGAAAAGGACAAGATTAGTTAGTGATTTGAAGAGTAATATCGTTTGTGTCAAGAAAACCTTACTGTAATAACTTTTAATAACCCAATACACATATTAAAATACTTAATTTTGGTTTCCCTTATTTTTACACTTTATTATTGAAATATATCTGTTCATGTATTTATAAAATGATATCTTTTCTAGGCATAAATTCTAGATCACTGTCAAATAGTGGTGGATGTCATCTTAAAATCGATCCAATCAATCATCATCATCATTATGATCAAGGGCATACGCCACCGGCAAATCATAATGGACTAAGTCGTTCTGGTTCTTGTCATTCAGTTATTATTACTCCTACAGGTAAGGCATAAAAAACGGTATAAATATAGTGAGATTTTATTTCAAATTTTGACTTGTAAAACCACTAATTTATCGACGAATATCTACTAAAGTTGTGTTAAAGCAGTGTATAATTCTAGATCATTCAGCTGATTAACTTAGAATAACTATAGCTTCTCTAGAAATTGGCTTTCAGAGATCCTGTAGGTACTTTATTTGAAATGAACTGTTTGAGAAAAATGCATGCTTCGAGTGACATGTTTTCTAAGCTGAAAGCTCCGTTGGGATCCGTTACGTTGTTCAGTCATGACTACTAAAATTTAAAATGTTAAGATCGAAAAAACCTTTGGCAGTGTTATTGTTTACTCTATCAAATAAATGTTCTGTTAAAAGCCAACACTAACCACGAATTGCAGAAAAGTTGTTTTGTTCGAGTCAGCTACTTAATAGGAGTATGCACACACAACTTCAAATAGAACAGAACCTAAAACCTTCAAGTCTCTCATGAAGAGTATGATATTTTCAGACTGTCGATCAACACCTTTGAAGTCATTCATTTCACAATATGGGGTTGGTCATCATTTAATCTTAATAGCAATAGTTTCTCATTCTAAACTCTTTGTTGTTAGTTGCATAATATCTTTCATAATATAACAATAACGAATTTATTTGAATAAAATAACAACCTCTAACCAATTAAATCAAGTTACCTTTAGTTTAACTAAATCGCCGTAATTTCAAGTTATTCCAAACCGTAATCAGAAAGATTTAATATTTACAACTGTGACTCTCATCACTTACTTCTAACATAATGGGGTCTTCTTCCTAATAGAACAGCGTTAGATCATTCAAAAACTGAAATTTATTGCACTATTAGATTACATAGACAGTAATATCTATCAACAGAGTTAACCAGTAGTCAAGAGTAGACAAATACAATCATCTCTCCTTCTCAGTGATTAATTTCTGTGAATATCTCAGCACAACAAACGGTAAAATGTTATCCTCATAAATGAGTGATGTCGTCCCTGAACATGACACTAGGTGTCATGGATTTGAATTCGATTTTCAACGTTAGTTACGTGATTGTGGATACACATAACTACTGATGATGATCGTAACTATTTTATCAGGGTTTAATCTCGAACTGACCAATCATTATAACTTAGTGTTTTTGACCCCTTTATGCATGAAACGATAAGCTAAGGTCGTAGGAATAGTTAAATATGGATTATGATATCTAGCCTTATATATATTCGTTTTAAAAAATTCGGTTGCAATATGGAATTGTTTTTATTATGTAATAAATGTTGTAGAATATTTTAGTTTTATATAATCGACTATTCTTCATTAAATAACCACTGAAAACCAGGAAGTGATTTGTCTACATTAAATTTGTTCACTTTAGCCAGAAGACATGATCGTGTTTTTTCATACTGTCTAATAATATAAGTAGCAAATAAGCATCTTCAGTACTCTAAATATTTTTTCGAAAAATGTTTATTAACCCCCTAAGACTATTGATTATTTCTCTGTTAAATATTTTTTAAATGAAATCCAGCGTAATCAGTGTCACCATGGGGGGTAGTGCAAAAATAGTTTTTTTAAAGAAACAAATTCGCAATTTTTCTCATATTACCTATTTCATGCACAGAAAATAACAATCCATTCATGTTATAAAGACCTCACATTTCCAAAATGCTTATGAGATGTATTTTGAGCCAACTATAAAGGTATTTACACATGTCATTAATATGACAAGAAAAACGTAATATATAGATTGACAAGTGTATTGTGTGATTGGAATCTGATTTTAATGTTATTAGTATCCTAAACGTTTATTAGTTTGATTTCGGAAGTGTCAATATTATACTAGACAAAGAAATAATGAAACTATTCTAAAGAATATTGATTTTGAAAATTTTACACCACTATGTAATCATACTGATAAAGATGGTATGTTGATAGACTATGATTGAAGTCATGAAGTTTTCTTAAGCTAATCTAACAAAGTTGTTTAGTTTTAGTCATAATTAAACATCCAAACAAGTGTTCGTCTCCAATAATCAACACTGACCACAAATTTGAATATTTATTGACAGATGAATGTAAAAAGGTCAGTAGTTCTGTTCTCAAATATCTAATTAACCAGCAACCTACCATCATAAATACTATTTTCAAGGTTAGTTCAATTTAACTCAAGAGCCTGTTCACAGCAGAAGCTTTAACAATACAACTTTCTATACTCGATCTGAACGTTCATAAATGACTCGTTTTTTCATTCATCTCACATTAGTCCTAAAAATCACCTTTCTACCTTTACAATCTATTACCTTGTATTCATTTTTACCTCAATTTTTTAAAATGCGCATCAATTAAATGATTTTCTTTCATACTTCTTACGTATAATCGATTTTCACCTTACCGTTACTCAATATCCCTTCTCATATTACGTGATTTTTGCTTAGCACCTGGTGAACATATTGACATCACTTTAATAATGATGCGATACCTAAAAATGTTAATTATATATTGAGGTATTTTGAATTACAGTAAATATAGATGGACAGAGATACTAATTGACATTATTGAAATGAAAAGATTCGTCAGTAACTTATCGCAATCTGATCGTAATCTATCAGTGGGTTTTTTAGCTTTTTAAATACTAATAAAACATCATCATCAGGCTCTACAGCTATAAGTCCATAACTATAATATTTTACAAAGGTCAAAAATAAGGCATGTATTAATGAATTTGACAATGTTATATAAAAATGCATAGTAGGAGAATGTCATCTTATCAATTGAGAGAATAATAATAAGATTGTTGTGTGAATATAATATGTAATAAGGAAGGTGTTATCAAGGTAATTACGATAAACGAATTGGGAATGATCGATGTGAAGATTAAGATAGAGATAATCAAAAATAATGATAATAAGGACAAATTAAATAAATAAAAATGAAGGAAGGGGGTAAGAGGTTTATGATATTCAGTCTAGGTATTTGGTGATCAAGTCGTAAGCCAACGTAAACAAAGAGGCTGGATATATTTTTTCTGGATACATAAATTTGGTCTTCTGGAGTTGATCCAGATGGCTTCGGCTGTGTAAAGCAGTCGTAATCTAACTCCGTGAGGTAGATATTTTGGAACTTGATATAAAACAGAGAAAGCTTCCTCTATTTTGATATGATGTTCACTATCTACCAAGTGAGAAAGAATGGTGCTGTTAATTGATTCAGTAACTCCTTTTCCCAACCAAGCTGGTACATGTTCACGAACACCCAAGGATAAAGCCCTCTGAGTACGGCCGATGTAACTAGCTCCACAGGAGCAGTTGAATTGGTATACACACATGGAAGAGCAAATAATACAATTTTGAAGTATGTATATATATCGTAACAGATGCAAACGTTTACCATTTTTAACATATAACATTGTCAAATTCATTAATACATACCTTACTTTTGGCCTTTGTAAAATATTATAATTATGCACTTATAACTGTAGATCCTGATGATGAAGTTACTAAAAACAGTTGTTCGCTCAAATATTCTTCATTTTTGAATATTCTATGAGGATTTTTAAACTACTGATAAAACACGGTAATGATTTCCGAACCTGATGAACATTTTAACAGATTTCATTAAAACTGCTTTATTTCTTTTACAAGCTTCATTCCAATTCTTTTGTGTCATCTCACTTAGATTCATCAATATTTATATTGAAACTATGCTTATCATTCGTATTTTGTTTTTTCGGTAATTACAATTAACGTTAATAATAAGAAAATGAAGTTATATTTTTAATACCATAGATTATATTTCCCAGTGTAGCTCATCAAACACAACTTTTATTTAATTTATTTTACATTGTACGATTTGTGTGACGACGTTATATTGATTGTCTGTCGATATTGAAATAGGGTTTGTACTTGAGATTGAGCGCTGAGCGTTTTAATTATTAAATGATCCTCTTCACATGCATTTATATAATAAATACACCCTAATAGAAGGTCATTTATCGTTATTCTTCCGTTCAGGAGAACAAGATTACAACCCAGTCTTCTTATAACAACAGTTATGCAGCTTCACTCTCTGATAGAACTATTCAGGCACTAAAAGCCATGTGGTACTACATTTTATTCACTTACTTATTAAGCTAATATATGCATGCGTAAGCGACTGAGAAAGGTCAACTGATAATAATAAACACAAAGTATCAGTAGGTTTTTCCTATAACCGTGAGAAGAACGATTGTGATGAAATAAAATGATGAAGAAATAGTTACGTCAGATATTATGACTCTTAATTTAATTGAATAATCTTCTTCAATTATTTAAAATCATTATGAAGTTGTTTAAAAACTTTTAGATTCATAGATGTTATTTAAACTGTATTGAAAATTCATTTCTTGAAACATTTTAATTAATATTGAGGGATTTGTATAGATTACAGAATACTATAGTGTAAGTCATGAATTGATCGTAGCTAGACGGATGAGCACTGCTGAGCAATCCCGTACTACGACTAAATGGCCGTTCAGTGCTTCCTGATTTTCTATAACGGTCTAACTCAGATCATTTTGTGATTTAACTTACAATGAACATCGTAAATAAGATAATATATTTTCAACATTCCAATGAGTGGGAAAATGAGATTTTCGGAAGCTTCGTGACTCAGTGCAAGCCACTTCAGGTTATTTATTTTCTGAAGAAGTGGATATTCTACCTAATGCTCAATTTATTCGAAATTATCAAGTCAAACCATGGTAATGATACCTATAGAAAACATTATTGTTAAACAAGCTTTTGCCAATGATGTATCGAGTACCTTACAAATTAATTGCCTTTTGGCCTAATATTTTGGCAAGTGATTCTTAGATTTTCGATAATTCCAACTAACAAATGGGCGATAACAGGGTAAATTTTCGATATACAGAGATTTAATGCTCCGTTAAAAGTATGAGTTCTTGTTAACTGATTTGTACAATCTCAAAAGTTACAACTAAATTAATAAGATATCATCATTAATATTACTTGACCGACTTTATGAACTCCTTAACTCCACCTCAGTTATTATTCAGCAAAAAAATTTGTTTTCACAAGAGTGTATACCTTTTACAATACTTTAGGAGTTCTGGATTCGATTTCCTTCATTATTCTCAATATTTAATGACTTGTGCATACTAATAATTAACTTGAAATGTACCTAAAGTGTCAACTATTCCAATAAAATAAATTATTACAGAAAATTTATTATATTTATCTGAAATTAAAATAAAACCAACAAATCTGGAATAGAACGGAATGCGCGTCCTATATTCCACTCCTAGCTAAATATTATCTATTCCATAGAAATAAGTAGATGCTTTTCTAAATAAACATAACTGAAATCGAAGTTTATCATAATTATGTGATATATTTGCGCAATACATTTCGAACAATCTGATCACACATATACTTGTTAAGAACATTTATATATGAAAAATTAAAAGGTCAACTAGACAGGTTAAGGGTAAGTCATAACAAAGGAAAAATATTAAAGTACACAAAAACAAATGTGATTACCACTCTGGACAGTAAATCAGCCCAACTTGTCATTATCGAAAAGACAAGGTCTATGTTTCACCAAAAGCCCAAACAGCATGAAAACGATTGTGTCACATCCCATTGTGTCTACAAATTTACATGTATGTGTGGAAACACGTACGTAGGGAGGAGCAATCGTGATTTGCAATTAAGGGTGGGTGAGCATATACCAAAATGGTTGCAAAATCAGATGAATTCCAATGGTGAAATAAGACCACAGGATAGACAGACATCATCATCCATTGCGAAACATTTGATTGAGACGGGTCATAAGGTTGATATCAAATCAGCATTTGTTGTGTTGTACAAAAGCCTTCAAGGACGTATACTAAGGTTTATTGAAGCCTTGGCTATACGAAAATTGAAACCCCCTTTATGTGTTCAAAAACAATTTGTACTTACACTTAACCTACCCTGGTAGTACTGATTTACTGTCCAGAGTGGTGATCACATTTGTTTTTGTGTACTTTAATATTTTTCCTTTGTTATGACTTACCCTTAACCTGTCTAGTTGACCTTTTAATTTTTCATATATAAATGTTCTTAACAAGTATATGTGTGATCAGATTGTTCGAAATGTATTGCGCAAATATATCACATAATTATGATAAACTTCGTCTTCTCATTGCATTATCGAAATTTATCAAAGGGACTAATTGTTTTAAATAACTGAAATCGCGTTTAACTCATGTTAAATGCTAAGTATTTACAAACTCCAATTTTTATTATCTTGAACATTGTAAGTTTCATGGTCTCACTAGTTTAAAAGCTCTCTAGTACCAATAGTTAGTATACTATATATATAATTTGTTGCTAACCATTAAATTAGCGTTCAATCTTAGTTAATTTCTGATATAATTTTATAAATTACAAATGAGAACAAGAGTTCTTTTCTTTCTACACAACTAATTGTTTCTTCAGGTCCTCCTCCTGGAACTAACAATAACACTGCCGGTGGCAATGTAGGTTCTACAGAAACTATTAATATACCTAGAGGTTCGACGGTTAACCTAAAGTAAGTCAATTGTTTCTGTTATGACTCTTGCCCTGTTAGTTGTCACGTGACTTAATCGCCAATTAAAACACAGACTCTTATGACCTTGCCACTGTATCAAACTAATGACGTGTTGACCAGTTCGAGCAGCTTGGAGTCAACTCTGAGTCTTTATTGGCTTTTCCGGCCTATCCCAGCTCGTTCAGCCCAGAACATCAATATCAACCTCCACTGTATGGAAATTCGTAGTTTATATACAAGCAAATCACACCGCATCATACCACAAAATAGAAAATAAAAATAATACAATATAAAATCAAAAACGGCTGTGTGTGTGAGAGACTATAACTATTAATTCATGAGTAAATTAGGAATAGTAAGTCGTATAATGGTAATCAGTGGCTCAAATAGAAGCTTTTATTCAAAGAAAAATGAATATACATATAAGTTAGTTAATTAATAGTCATGCAACAGAAGTATGTGTACTAATAGTCTATAAATAATTCCTAGCACTTACCACTTATTTATTCTTTGTCAGAATATAACAGTTTGTTTGTTTTTTACATATTTATTTGACTTATGTTTTATAAGCCGAATGGTTTGGTAATGAAGCTTTGGTTGTCTTTGTGGACGACATTATCAACACTCAGTTCATGTAGAAGTGAACTGTTTAGAAGTGTTTTGTGATGACATTATTAGTGGTCTTATCGGGATTTTGTCAGCTTCACTTGTCTTTACGTTCTTGTTGAGTGTTTTTTTAATCTCTGGACATATGACTGGTTAACCTTTGTTACATAGGTAGTTTTAGCCAACAGTTTTTTAAAACTTCAGTGATAATTAATAAAGTAGCACACCCCTGACTAATATACTTTGCATGATATATCAAGCTTGTTCTAAATATTTAACCTATTTCGATAACTCCTTATTATTCACCCTTAAGCAATTAAGAAAATTCCATTGTAAAAAGGTCAAACAATAAAGTCAGTTCATTCTACCAAAAGGTGTTATTGTGATAATTCGAACACATACGCGATGTTGGCTTTTACTTGGCCGTACAGGAGACCATTTGAAACTTGATTAGCTGAATCATCCCGTGTTCGAGTGTTACACTGGGTGACGTATTTGAATACCCTCATATGAATTAGTTATTTAGTGGTTACATTTACTCCTTACTAACCATTGCCAATTATCATGAACTTAGGGTTCTATCTCAATTGCCTTTAACCATTAATGACTTCATACCATCATCATAATTTACCCAGCAATCGTTACCTAGGCTGTTTTAGTTTATTTATCTGTGTGAACAAATTTTATTGCATCATATTCTCCTTCACAATGATTAAGAATATTTAAATATTATTAAAAATGTAATCGTTTTTTATTTCTTCATGATAGCTTTCATGGTCATACACACCAAAATTCAGGATTTGGTGGGGTATGTTAGAATATTTTAGTTATTAATATTATAACTATGACTTTCATTGATATTTTGATTTTAACTAAATAATTCCATTATAAATGTAATGCTATCAGTCTACATCTGACACACATACTCATTAGAAAGCTAACAGTATCCTGCTGTTTTCAGAAATTCATTATTGACCGAAATCAACTGTCGATCATTCTTTCTAATAATCTGTACTTATAGTTAAAACCCTAGTGTATAAACTTCTAAATCACTTATCGAATCGCATATTTTTATAAGCAAGTGAGAACATATATGTATACTAATTTACTACACATCTCATTGTACTAATATCATCAACAATATTAAATGAAAATTTGTATCCTAGCATTAGTTAGCTGATAATAAAATTGAAATTCAGTTATACACATATTAACAATACCATAACCAAGTATGAAAGTCATGATTTTTGCGGTCACAGTAAGTTTTCATTATCAATATCCTGGAACAGGACTGAATGTTTTTACACGGATGAAGATAACTATCCTGTTTAGTGTTTAATAAAAGTGTAATACCTAGTATTTTCAATTATTTTACGTTCCTTTAGTACTGCAGATAAGAGTGTAATTTTCATTGAACACTTCATTTCAGTAATTAAAAACTACCTACATATATCTCTTTTTGAACACGCTGCTGTAGCGCATTCCAACTTGCCAGATGAAAAAATAGTCAAAGTGAGAATTAGAGCTTGAAATGAAATTTTCAATGAAAATTTCTCTCCTTTATACATTATTCACTAACTAACAAAAGGGAAAGTGCTACATAGTGCACACATCTTGAACATTTTGAGGCTGATGAGCTACAAATTAACAGACATGTATTGCATCCTGCGCTTTTTAAAATTAGAAATTCATGTTCAGCTTTATATCTATTTATGATGCATATGCTACGAAATTATTGATATGAATTTCATTATAGAATCAAACAATGAATGAATGAGCAGTATAATTAAAGCATATTATTTTTATTTTATAGACCTTTGTAGCACAGTATGGTTACGAAGCTAGAGAAGACGATGAAGTGACCTTCAAATCTGGTGATATTATAGTGAATGGTGCACCTATAACCGAAGGTTGGATGTATGGTACTGTTCAACGAACTGGAAAATTTGGAATGCTTCCATCGAATTATGTTAAACCATACCGTTAAACATTTCAATCATTATGTTTACTATTTATAACTATGAATAAGTTTTTCTCTCATTTAATTTGTATTATTAATTCAGGTAGCTTTCCTTTATTTTATTATAGTCCTATAAACGCATATCACTATCATCATAACATATCATGAGAATTCATTTAAACAAAAAGACCTCTGACAAAATTCATTAGGCAAATAACGTTCCTTTTTTTTATCTTACTCAGAGATTTCTCAACATATTTCATAAAATCTTTTCAAATAAATCACATAAACTATAAACTTTATGGTTTTTATCGTATTGCTATGACAGCATTTTCGAAAGTTTAGAGTATAGGATATTATAGCTTATAAATTCCTATCAAATAATCTATATTCATCTTTTATTTACTTTACATATATATTTTAAAAATAAAAAAATATATTCAATTTATGTAAGGAACAGAATTCCAAATATACAAACAATTCAATGACATTCATCAATCACACTAACTTACATATCCTTATTAAACATTGAAATTATATTCGATTAACATTTCGTCTCTTTCATAATTATTTAGCTTTTTATTAGCTACTTATATTTTTTTTCAAAATATGCTCTCATGTCTGTATGTGTACCTGAGTACCTATAATAATAATAATAATTATTATTATTAATATTATTATTACTATACTAACAATGTTGAACATAGTTTCAGTTCAATTATTACCTGTTTACATTTTTATCACTCTTTTAGTGACACATTCCCAGATTGTTTCTAAACTTTCTTTTTGAGAAAAAAAAATAAGGTTGGTTATTGATTTTGTATTGTATATCATTTGTTGGTTTGTTTATTTGTTTGTTTGTTATAATTTATAATGATAATATTGAATATTATTTTTTAATAATTTTATTAAATTGACATATATATTCATTGATATGCGTATGATTTGTCTTTATTGTTCATTAACTGTCATTTTAATAAAGCATCTATTCATAAATTCCAAATCATCATTTAAATAATAAATCATTCAAGAGTCAATATGCATTATATGCGGTCATCTTATAACACAATAGAACGTATATATATATATACAATGAATACCTTATGTTATAATGGTAAATGTCAAATTATTTCTGTAATGACATATACTACTATATATACAGAAATACCATACAATATACATTAGAAATGTGAATACATTTCAAAGAGATGCACTAATCGGATTTTAACAAAAATTTAGTTGTTTTTGTTTTGTTTCTTTTATTTGAATTGAATTTGTGTGTTTTTATGAGTCGACAGTAAAAGAGGAGGGTAAGAGAGAGAGAGAGAGAGAATAAATTGATTATTATCAATAAAAATTTGAAGTACAAATTTTGACAAAAAAAAACATGAATTATTTATTCTTCATATTTACTTATAAAAAAATCAATAATCCAGTTACCTATGAATCATTTTTAAACTATTACCAAATAGTTATGTTTGTTTGTTTGTTTGTTTGCTTTTTATATACATTCAGTTAATTGATCAATTCATTTTCTATGTTTGTCTACTGATTATATGGACTCCTGAAGAGATTGGTTGTGTATACATAAGGTTCGTTTGATAATAAATATTCAATAAAACTTTATATCATGCATCCAAATATCACATAGATAAGATAATAGAAATAAAGTGTATATTATGAGAGATGATTGTTGTTATGGTGTGAATTTCAATTCTATCCATATTTAAATAATAATTGTGAGCAATGAGAATGTAGACTATTATTTGTTTTGTAAAATATTTCATGGAATTTAATCAATAATAAAGTTACAGTAATACTGAAATCAGTAAAATAGATCTCCTTTTTTTGTTTTGTTTTCTATTTTTTTCATAAGAAGAAACTAATAATCTGATAATAAATATTCTTCAATAAAACATAAGATTATGTTAGTTACACAATGATTAACAAGGGTGTAAACAATTATACCAACATATTGAACGGGAATGGATATACTTTGTAATGAAACTATCGAGCTTAGGAAGTATTATGCTTTAAAAGTGGTTACAATGTAAGCATCT